AGCGACGAGCGACGAGCGACGAGCGACGAGCGACGACGACGACAACGACGACGACAACTACGCGAGCATCATGTAAGTAACGATCTGCCCCACAGCGCATGTACACCACAATGCTCGCTTGCACCACATCGCGTGTGTACACCACAGAGCCCGCGTTCACCGCAACAGCCGTGTGCAACCGCAGCGCCTGTGCACACTACTCTGCCCGTCTACACCAGAGCATCCGCGTGCAACGCATCGCTGGTGTACACCACAGCGCCTGCGTGCATAGGACAAGTAGAAGGAGTATGTAAGTGAGGATCTGCTGCAGACAGCTAAAAGTCACGCCAAGAAAGTTTTGATTATATACTGCGACGCATTTCCCTCCTTCCTCCTCTTCTACTTCCACCTCCTCCTCCTCCTCCTCCTCTTACTCCTCCTCCCTCACCCTTCCCCCCTGTCGTGTGGGTCGGCGCTACAGCGGACGTGCGCATCTCAGCGTGCACCGTAGACTTGTGTAGTGCATAAATCCACTTGGTCTTCGAACAACCAATTTGGCTGGAGAGTCCTGGGCGCAAATGGGAGGAATTAGGATGATGCCGGCGGACTCGGGAGGACTCGTAGATTCCAGCAGCGTTCCTTCTTCCATAAGGATTCCTTTCCAATCCAATGCAAAACACTTGTTTCTGTGGAGTCCACAAGCGCTCCGTTTTGTCAGAAGGACTCCATCCAACATTCTATATACAACAGTGGCGCTCTGTTACACACAATTGCTCTGGTGCGCACAGGCGCCGTGTTGCACGCAAGCGCTGTGTTGCACATGGTTGTTGCGGTGTACACATTCGCTGTGGTGTACACCGGCGCTGTAGTGCACGCAGGCATTGTGGTGTACACTGGTGCTGTGTTGCACACGGCTGATGTGGTGTACGCAGGCGCTGTGGTGTACAAAAGCGCTGTGGTGCCCGCAGGCACTATGGTACGCACTGGCGCTATGTTGCACGCGGCCGCTGTGGTGCAATTACATAGGCGGTGTGGTGTACACAAGCGCTGTGGTGTACACAAGCGTTGTGGTGCAGATCGCCACCGACATGCTGCTGCTACCCGTTCTCGGTCATTCCCATGCACGCCCAAACGCCGCCGGCGCGAGCGCGATGACATCGGCCCCCATCCACCCGCCCCCAAGAAGATTGCCGTCATCAGCCCAGAATCAAAGACAGGCTCCAGCCGCGTCCGCGCGCACGACGACGACGATGAGCAACGAGCGACGAGCGACGAGCGACAACGACGACGACGACGACGACAACGACGACGACGACGACGGCGGCGACGACGACGACGACGACGACTGCGGACCAGACTCCTATGCGAATTCTTATGCAGACAAGTAGTCGGATCCCGATGCGCACGGCGGCAGTGCCCGGAGCGCACTGGGGGGGGATCGTTGCGTCATAGGGGGGGGCGGGGGCCATGACGCCCGTCATGCCTCAAACAACGAAGAAACGTGCTCATCGGCGACGCGGCTCCATGTGGAGCTTGGCTCTCTTCGAGCCGGCGGCGGCGGCGGCGGCGCATCACTAGCGTCGCCAGCGCATCGCCGATGCACGCGCGATGCATACGCGATGCAGAGGCGACGCTGCGCGATCCTCGGACCTCGCGCATTCGGAACCATGTAGGGGGCGTCCATGTGATACCTGGTTGTTGGCGGTGTATGAGGTTTTGTTGCGCACGTTGCGACGCGTGCCTTCTGCGTTCCCGGCGAGCATCGCTGAGTTCGGGGCATCGGGGCGCCCAGGAGCTCGCAGGCCTCTCCAGCGGATGCGCGGGTGCGCCATCGCTTGCAGCAGCGCTGTGTCATAGAGAGTTTCGCCGAAGGCATGAATCACAGATTTCGCATGGTGCTGCCGCAGTCTTTCTGGCATCTATGGTTTTTGATGCGCTCGCACTGGTTCCGACCGTTTTGATTTCATCCGCTTTGATTTCGCCTCGGTGAATCTCAAGTGGGCGAATTCGCAACGGATGAATTCACGTGAATTTAGACAAGACGCCGAAACAACGGAACATCTGAACATCTGAACAAAACGAATAGAAGCCGGGTGACATTGAACTGGGCGAGCTAAAACCGGATGAGGTCAAACTGGGCGAATTAAAACAACACGAATTTAAACGGGGCGAAATGGAACGCGACGAATGAGAACCACACGAATTCACGCCGGGTGAATTTAAACGCGACATTTCAGAATCGGATGATCTTAAGAGGGCGAATTAGAACCGGATGAATATAAATCGGGGGAATATAAAAAACACATGAACTTAAACTGACGAACTAAACCGGACGAGTATCAATCGGGCAAATTTAAACCGGACGAATTGAAAGTTCGGGACAAGGACGGGGCAAGCGGAACACGAGCACATTTGAAAACTGCTGAATAAACCGAGCGATCTAAAACTGGGCGAATTTAAGCCGGCGGAAATGACACTGCATGGACCCAACCGTTGCAAATGTAAACCGGATGGCCTTAAACCCGGGCGAACACAAACCATATGCAATTAAGCGGGCGAAGGAAGTCAGGCGGTCGAGATTAAGCGGGCACGGGCAAAACTGAACTGATGGCATTCAACTCGGATGAAACATACATGAGTCACCCCCCGCGCTCCCCAGCAAACAGACACGTGCTCGTGAATCGCGCAAGTGGTCGCAGCAGCTCGCCTGGCCATCGCTGCTGGATGGGATGACGGGGGCGCGCGAAGCGTCGACTGCCGCGGATCCGCGGCGGCGCCTCCAGAAGCGGCCAGGTCGCGGCCATTCTGAAGCAAGGGGTGGTGGTGGCGGTGGCGGTGGGCGGACGCGCTGGCGGGGCTGGCGGGCGGGCAGGCGGGCGCGGGGCGGGGCGGGGCGGGGGGCGGGCGGGCGGGGGGGGGCGCGGTGAACCTGCAACTTCTTGACGAGAGCGATTAACCATGGCCCCCCCGTGGCTAACCGCGCGATCGGATTCCCGCGGCAGAGATGACGGCCGCGGCGCGGACATCGACGGGGCGCGGAAGTGGGGCCAATTTCCGCCGCCTCTTGACAGGGCGTCGGCGCCCGCGTTGCACCTGGCGCAACTTTCAACTGCGAGGGCGCCTCCCGCACGTCGCGCCTCATGGCGGTGGAGGCGGCGACGGCGCAGACGTCGACGACGATTGTGGCGTCGATCAGATGCGCGGCTCGTCGCCGCGCCGAATACCCCCCTCGCGGCGTAGCTCGCGGCCCCTCGATGCGCGGCCCATCCACGGCAGTGGGCCGTGGTGTTTTCTGCAGGCGGCAGGTTTGCGAGCGAGCGTCGCGCGGCCGCTGGCGCGACGCGGGGCGACCGCCGCGCGCTCGGATTTCACGCGAGGGCGATCCACGAAGGCCCGCTCAAGAATGCGAGCGCGCCATTGCCATGGGGCCAGGGGGGGCTGACTCCAGCGGGCGCTTGTCGACCGCGATGACACCTGGCACTCTCCAGAGCCAGACCCCGCGCGAACGCATCTCGGTCTTGCCCTCGCCGAGGGCGCGCGCGCGCGTCGCCGTCCGCTTTGAGCGGCGCCTGGCATGGGGCGCAATTTCCTTATTGTTCGCGTTGCCAAACGCGATGTAATCATGAGTGGCCGAGTCGCGCCCGCTCACATTGGGCGACTGCGCGCTCTTCGCCGCTTTGGCAACGAGCGCCCTGCCCAGCGGGCGCGCCGGCGCGCTCGTGCCTGCGCGCAAGGCCCCCGTCAGCACCGCGAGTTCCTAGCAGGGCAATCAACTCTGGCACTGATTGCGCCGCGGGGCCACGGTGGCCACGACGTCTGCGCGGCGGAATGCGTTTTGCAAGGAGGCAAGCTCCCTCGTTGCCTCTGCGCGCCACTGCTGCAGCGCCTTCGACCGCTCGCTGGCTTGGGGCGTCCCCGCCGCCTTGGCGCACCCTGCCCGCACTTGGGCTGCGCGCTCCAGATACGCGCCATAGGGCAGCTGATGAAATCTCCACATATCGTCGATCCAGGCACCTCCTGGCCAGGTCATCGTCGGCCCCGTCCGCTGCCCGCTGCGCCCCCGCCTGCGGGGCGGGCCCGCTTGCGCCCTGAGCTCGGGGCGCTGGAGGGGACGGAACGGAGCGGCAGTTGGGCCGCGCGTCCTCGGCGCGACGTCGCTGGTTTTGCGTGGAGCAGGCAGCAGCCACCAGGGCGCGGAAAGCATCGATATCCGCACTAAATCGATCTTGCGACGGTTCACCAGCATTCCCACCTCACCTGCCCAATCGCGGAGCCCGGACAAAGCGCCCCGCATTGTCTTCAGCTGGGAGAAAGTCGGTATCGGAATGTGGAAGCCAGGACTGCGCCAGAATGTCTACACAGATGGCGTTGCCGCGGGTGCGAAAATTACGGCGACGGCGGTGACGGCGATGGCCACGAGGCAACCTTTGCGGCCGCGATCACGATCATCTGCGTTGCACCCTGTCGAGCGGATCGGCTCCCAGTAGGGTGCCCCTGCTTCGTCTAGGCAAGAAGATGAAACGGGTAAACGCCAGTCGAACCTCTTGGGGGCCGTTTGGGGTCATCTTGTGGTCGTCTTAAGGGGCTGTTCTGCTCTTTGGGAGGCCTATTGGGTCTTTGTTTCGGTGTTCTGGGAACCTCCCGTGTCTTCCGTAGGTTCACCGGCATGGCGATCGGGGAGAATGCCGAGGGCGAAACATGTGCCGAGGCGTATGTGTGCTTCATATGCTTCTGGCACTCGGGTTAAGCTTGCAATCCTGTCGGTTGAATGAAACTCTCCTGTGCCATATTGACGGCATCGCGGGGTCACCTTTGGTTCCTGGGGCTGTCAAGAAGGCCTCTTGGCGCGTCTCTGGGACCGTTATGGGATCTTCGTCCGTCGCGTGGCGGCGGCCAGTTATCGGGGGGTCCTCCCTCATGCCCCCCAGTGGAACACACAACGGGACGCCCCCACAAGGTAGGGGGAACAGGCACGGTCGAATCTCAATATATTGGCTGCGGCTCGGTTTCGGTACGTGTGTCTCTGTCGCGTGGGTCGGAGGTCATGCAAGCAGGGGGGAAGGTATGGAGATAAGGGGGGAGAGGACACCTCGGCCCGTGCAAATGTCAAATGCTGACGGAGGCAGCACCAGCTCGAGGAGTCCCCAGGTCCACCGGAGAGGCCTCGAACGTTCAAGTCCAACCGGCCCTGGCAAGTCCCTCCGCCTTCTCCTCATCCTCTTCATCGATCCTCTCGGGAGACCCCACAACAGCAGTGTGTCTCAGATGCATCGCACCAGAATGCTTCTGCCGACGCCAGAAAGAAAAAAAAAAAAAAAAACAGAGAACACCGCAAAGCAGGCTCCCACTGCAAAGAGACCCAAGCCGTGCGCATCATCCCCATCAGCTCAGCACGCGCAAGGATAGTGCTTCTTCGTTCGGTCATCGCCTCGTGCGACCTTGGAAGCATCAGCCCCGCCCGACTACCTGCCAGCCTTGAGCAACCCTCTACCCAGCCTCCCCTCGGCCCAGCTGGGTCCCACCAGACGTCCTGCCTTGGGCGGGTTTGCGCAGAATCAGAAATCTTCGCCTGCGCCTGTTACCCGATCCCCCCCTCGCATGCAGGAAAGGCGAGGTGACGGGGAGACAAGCGGGCTGCGGGCAGGGATGCAGCCCGTGCCACAGATCATGGCTCGCAGGAGAAGAGCTAGGGATCCATCTTGGATCCAACGCAGATCCCCTCAGGTGCTCCCAAACGTGCAACTTAAGACACTCCCCGGGTGCACATGCCTGGGAGGGCGGTTATCCATTCGCGGCACCACCTGACATTGTCTTTCTGCCTTGGACTCTTGTCGAAACCGGGGCCTGCAGTGGGGTCTTGTCGTCCGCGTTCAGCGCCTCGGGGTTCGCCCTTCTCTGCAGCAGCAGGGTGCAGACCTCGAGGTGCGCCTCCTCTTGATGACACATTTTGGTTGCTTGTTTTGTCTTTCTGCCATTTGCTCCAAACTTCCAAAACAACACCCTGAAACTAATCCGGGACGTCACGGACGGCCGGGTCTCTCCATTGAAATCTGGCAGGGCTTCGACCGCAACCTGGCAAACTGCGCTCGCTTGCCGATTAGCCTTGCAGCCTCGCCAAGTGCTTACGAATGCACTCGTGGCGAGCTTGTGCTCATCAGGGACGGCTCTGCCTAATCATGGGTCTGGGGGGGGAGGGGGGCCACGGCCCATAAAAGCGACTGCGGGTCCTTGGCTGCGAAATGTAGCGGCGTCCAGCCGTCCTCCTCCACGGCCGTGACTTCTGCGCCCGCCCAAAGCAGCCGCCTAATGCAGTCCGCGCTGCCGGCCTGCGCCGCGAACATCAGCGCGGTCATTCCCACGTCGCCAGTCTCGCCGCGCCCGCCGCCCTCCTCCCGGGGCATCGTGGGGGGTCGGACCATCGCCAGGAGGAGGAGGAGGAGGAGGAGGAGGAGGAGGAGGAGGAGGAGGAGGAGGAGGAGGAGGAGGAGGAGAGGGGAGGGAGGAGGGGGGCGAGGGAGAGGGAGAAGCAGGATCAGGAGGATGGGCAGGAGGGGAAGCATGAGGAGGTGAACCCATCGCAAAAGAGCAGGAAGACAAGCAACTGTCTAGGTCAATTTCTGCGTGAATGCAGACAGCCTGCAGTTTCTATGTTGCTGGTGGCGGCTCGAGGTGGTTGGGACTGCACAAAATAGGTCATCAGTCCGCGCGCATCCTTATCCATGCGCCCCCGCAGAGCACCGCAAAGCAACACATAATGAAGAAACCTGCGGAAACGCAACATGCACGCGCGCACGACGACTCACCCGCTGCCCCCTAATTAGGTGCTATCGGGCTCGCGCTCGAATGGCTCTCTAGGATCTGGGGTGATATGCCCTGCTCTTCAAAACGCTGCTTGGGCTCTGGGGAAGCCTCCAGAAGGACATAGCACGCCCAGAAGTCAGAGGATCTGACATGGGAGCCTCTCAGAGCGAAGGCAACCTATAAGTTCTAAAGCTGACGCAATATTCCCCAACCTGACAGAGCCGTACTACGAGAACATGCGGCCTGTGGGCAACACACAAAAATGCGCTTTGCGCAGCAAACATATACTAGTAGCCAGCATGCGCACTGCGGGACAAACGCACATCACAATTTAAGCGAGACGTACATCGATGAAAAATTATTGAAGACGCCTACGGCGAATCACCGCCGCTCCCTGCCTTTTTAGAAGCGCCTATATGGCCGAACGTTGAGGCCAGACCTGCCAAGCTATCGGACCATGTGTTCCCCGAATCGGTCTAGAAAGCCTTCGGGGAACACGCGGGCATCTTGAAGGTCATCTTGGCCGTCTGGAGGCCATTTTGACCCTTTCGGGCCTTCTTGGAGGACGTCTTGGAGGGCTCTTGGGCCGTCTTGGAGGCCATCTTGAGCGTCTTGGAGCGTTTCTTGGGCCTCTTGGGCGATCTTTGGGGGCACTTGGGCCGTCTCGGGCCGTCGGAAGGCAGGAAAAAAACAAATGCCACAATCCTTCAAAAACCAATGGGAAATCAATGATTTTGGCCTTTTCGGCCCTTCCTGGAGGGCCTCTTGGAGGCCTCTTGGACAGTCTTGGGCCACTTTAGGGCCATGTTCGGCCGTCTTGGTGGGCTCCTGGTCCGTCTGACGCCGTCGGAAGCCGTTTAGGGGGCCTCCATGGGCCGACTTGGGGCCCTCTTGGGCCGTTCTGGAGCCATCTTGAAGGCCTCTTGGGCGATCTGTCGGCGATCTTTGGGGGCTCTTGGGCCGTCTCGGGCCGTCGGAAGGCCGAAAAGAAGCAAATGTCAAAATCCGTCAAAAACCTTAGGCAAATCAGTGTTTTGGCCTCTTCTGGCCTTCCTGGAGGCCCTCTTGGGGGCCTCTTGGGCCGTCTTGGGCCAGCTTCGAGCCAACTTCGGCCATCTTGGTGGGTTCCTGGCACGTCTGACGCCGTCGGGAGCCGTCTTGGGGGCCTTTCTGGGCCGACTTGGGGCCCTCTTGGGGCGCTTCGGGGCCGTCTTGGAGGCCATCTTGAGCGTCTTGGAGGCCATCTTGGGCGTGTTGGAGGCCTCTTGGCCCTCGTGGGGCCGTCTTGGGCTGTCATGGGGCCCTCTTGGAGGCCTCTTGGGCGATCTAGGGGGCCCCTTGGGCTGTCTTGAGCCGTCGAAATGCCGAGAATAAGCAAATTCCCAAATCCTTCAAAAACCTTAGGATAATCAATGATTTTGGCCTCTTCGGGCCCTCCTGGAGGACCTCTTGGAAGCCTCTTGGGCCGTCTTGGAGGCCTCTGGGGGGCCTCTTGGGCCGTCTTGGGCCGTCTTGGACTCTCTTGGGCCGTCTTGGAGGCCGTCTTGGACCATACTGGGCGGACTTGGAGGCCATCTTGGACCATCTTGGAGGCCATCTTGGGCCAACGTGGCCAGCTTGGAGGCCATCTTGAACCATATTGGAAGATTTTTTCCCGGATTGAGCTCCTTGAGATCCTTTCCGGGTGGCCGGCGGGACGGGCCGAAGCCGCAGGGGGAGTTCTTTTGGAAAAAACCAAAACCAAAAGCCATATAATCTGGCACGCCAGGCACCCCTTTGATAAATCAAAAGGGGGCGGCGGCGGATCTTTTGGCGTTCGGCCCATCCCGCCACTGTGCACGGGTTGTGGGTTAGAGGCTCCTGGATGTTCGTTTGGATATCGCGGGAGGCCTCTCTGAGGTCTCTTGGCAGCAATTTTGAAGCCTTTTGGAAGCCGTTTGGGGACCTCTTGGAGCCTCTCTTTGGGGATCTCGGAGGCCTCGTGGGGCCTCTGGGGGGCCTCTTGGGCTCTCTTGGGGGCCTTTTTGCCTCCTTGAAACCTCTTGAGGCGGACGGCTCGAATTGTCGGTTCACGTTCCCCCTCTTGGGCCCCTCTTGGGGCCGTCTTGGAACCTTTTTGGACGATCTTGGGCGCCTCTTGGGCCGTTTTGGAGGTCCTCTTGGACCGTCTTGGAGCCCTCTTGGGAACCTCTGGGTCCGTGCTGGGGCGGTCTTGGGGGCCTCCGGGGCCATCTTGGGACGTCGGATGCCCGAAAACGCGAGGACGCGAAATACATCGAAAACACACAAGAACATCAATGATGTTTGCCTCTTTGGGCCCTCTTGGGGGTCCTCTCGGAGCGCTCTTGGGCCTCTTGGCCTGCCTTGGAGCCATCTTGGGCACCTTGGAGCGCTCTTGGGTTGTCTAGGAGGCTTCTTGGGCCCTCTTGGGCACGTTCTGGGGCCCTCTTGGCCCGTCTTCGGGCTCTCTGGCCTCTGGGAAGTCACGCGGGGAAACCAGGGAACGCGCGGGAACGCCCGGAAAATTTGAGACTTTGGGGCCCCAGCCCTTCGAATTTTACAATCCCATTGTCCTGAGTGCAGAGAACAGAGGACACATGAGGACCTGGGGAAAACTCCAGGTCGCGCCTCGCGGCACGGTGGCGGGTATTGCCATATGGATACAATTGGACGGATACCTTGACACACATACACAACATATATGTATATATATATATAGATATGTGTATCGGCACATTTACACATATGCACGTGTAAAGCAGAGAGGTGTGCACATCGACGCGAATGTCTGTATATATGTATATACATACATGCGAATTTGTGTATATATCTATGTATACACACATATGTATGTATGTATGTATGTCTGTCTGTCTGTATGTATGTATGTATGTATGTATGTATGCATGCATGCATGTATGTGTGTGTATGTATGTATGCATGTATGTATGTATGTATGCATGCATGTATGTATGTATGTATATATGTATGTGTGTCTATGTATGTATGTATGTATGTATGTATGTATGCATGCATGCATGCATGCATGCATGCATGTATGTATGTATGTATGTATGTGTATATGTATGTATCCATGCATCTATGTACCTTAGGTATGTATGTATGTACATACACATATACACACATATATATGTATATACACATATATGCGTATGCAAAAATGCATGTATGTTTGAACTTTATGTGAGCTGGAACCTCCCGATGTCCCTTAGAGTTCTATTTGTTGAGCTCAACAACTATTTTAAGGTGCCCACAACCCAGAATTCCGGGCGCTCTCGGGCGCTCCGTCGGAAACCCGCGTGACCTCTCGAGAGGCAAATAACGCATTGCTCGAGACTTGCATGTCCAACATGGTTTCATATGGCCCCATGGACCTTCTTGAGGCCGCGGCCCTCTTGTTTGAAAAGCGAGGGTCAGGGGCTCCATGAGGTAGTAACCTGAGGCCCTGCTTCTTACGATCACGTCGTATACGTATTGAAGTATCACACAGCTTCCCCCTCGACGGCAAGCAGGACGTGAGGTGGGAGATAAGACACGGGATGAGGTGGTGAACCATCGGTGGATGTGGCTTTTATCCGACACTCAGGCTCGATGGTGCCTCACAGGCGTAGGGAAAACCAATAGGGTGGCGCTACCGTAAGCAAAGGTAGCGCCAGACATGTAGCATGACGTTCGTAATGCAATCCCCCATGAGCTCCCGCTCACAGCCGGGGGGGCGGAGGGGCCAGACGTCAGGCCCAGTCCCGAATTACAATAATCAGGCCGCCCCCACAATGCAAAGCGTCAATGTGAATAAGTCGCAACGCAAAGCACTAGGGCCTGTCACGGGTGAGACCTCGTGACGAACCGTATTTAATTATAGGTAATCACGGGCGAGACCTTGCGATGACCCGCATATTCGTTATGCGAAGGCGCCGCCAGATATCAAGAAGGGTGGCCCGCGCCCGGGCTGATGCGTATATGCGGCTCGTGTCCGAGCACATGTTGGCTGTGATATAGCCGGCCATGCATCGCATCCGCTAGCCCTGAGTAGGGCGTCCCTGTGTTGGTGCTGCTTGGTTGCCTTGATCGGCATGTACTTCTTGACATCGTATTTGCAGGACGGATTACTTTCCATTCCTTGCTCTCTTTTTTTGCTCGCACATGCCCTGGAAGGCAGATCTGGCCGCCCGAGGGAGGGCATCGGCCACTGCGCCAGGACGAGCCGAAGGCCAGAGTAGATTGCGCCGCGTCGACTGCGACACACGCATACCACAACATGCATTGCACGTGCTGCGCAGCAGCCTCAGGGTCGCGCTCTGGGCAGCGTGGCGCTCCGCGGCGCGCCGGGCGGGCGTCTCGCCGCTGTCTCGCCCGGGCACCGCGGGCCCCTGGGCGCAACAAATCGGCGCCGCGCATCCCTGGGCGAAGGAGAGGCCGGGGGATTGTGGAGTCCCTGTGGGTTCCAAACGATTATTTACGATAGTTCACGTTGCTCCTCATCATTATTCTAATATTTTCTCTCTCGTTTTCTCTCTCTCTCTCTCTCAATCTCTCCCACTCCCATTTCCATTCCATTCCCATTCAC